TTGCTAAAGGAGATGAAGTTATATTTGGGGAGTTCTCCTGGCCGAAGAATGTCAAGACCAACTACATAATCTCGGGGTATGTCATAAAACACCTTATTAATTATTATTAGTGCAACAGGGAGGTCTTTTCCATAGACTATAGAGCCAATTTTACTAGCTTTCATGAAAGCTAATGTATGTCCTTTAAACTTAGCTCGAGAGAGGTAAAGCCAAACTTGTAGTATTGTGTAATGCTAATTAATCATGGACATAGTTCAGAGTTGTTTCACGGAGTCAGAAATCCAAAAAGTCGAGTTGAAACACCTGTGTGTTTGTTTGTTTTTTCTTTTAGTCATGACTATAAACGTCTTTCTTCACCGTGCAAAAACCAAACTTTGTGAATGTGACGCAGAAATTGAAGTTGCAAGGAGCAGTGCTTTAGCTAGCAGGAGAACTGTTGACAGTGGTTGATAAAGTGACTTTGGCTCTATATTGAAGCCTTAATGCGGTTCACACATTGACTGTTTTCTACAGTCAATGGGTTCACATCAAACCACCTTAAGTGTGCATCACGCAGTAATTCACTTAAAGTTTGTTAGTTGTAAAACTGGATGCCTGCATGCTTTTTTTTAAAAAAAAAAAAGTTTTGTGCTTCTTTTGATCTTTAGTTCTGGTAAAGGGGGGCAGCCCAAAGAGTACTATACCTTGGACTCTATCTTGTTCTTTCTCAACAATGTGCACCTGCCGCATCCATCCTATGTGCAAAGAGCTGCAGTAAGTGCTCTGGAGTTCATATGAAACAGTCCAGAATCTGTCAGTATCAATCCTTCATTGCTTACCAACGTGTTGTTTGAGGACAATCCTGATTCCAGCCCACAATTTGTCATACATGCAGCATCTTGTTAACTTCAAAGCGTTTTGACTTTTATGATTGTGTGTTGTTTATAGACAGAGAACATCCGTGCTGTCAGACGACCTGATCGAAAGGGCTTGCGTACATATCTTAATGGCGAGAGCTGTAAGTAGCACTTGGGCGCTGAGGATGGGGCTTTCTGTGGCATCTAGTACAGCTGTTGTCATTCCAGGTTTTGGTTCGCTG